TGGGCTCTAAATACGCGCGCGTGGTTGGATCAGATTCTACATTTTAGATCAGACGCGAATTGATCTAAATCGGGCGGACGGTGATCCTGAGGCGGTGAAGGTACAAAAATTATATAAAAATGTAGCCAGGATTTTTGCCTATCAAGTGGTATATTTTTCATTCACTATTTTCCTTAATTCCATCGAGGATCACGCGATTTATATCAAAAACCAAATTTGATCTGATCGATTTTTGATCTTTTAGCGCGCGCTCCACATCTATAAATACTCAACGCGTTTTGCTCTTTTCTCTCATCAATCAACTAGTCAAGTAAAAATGTCAGGAAGAGGAAAAGGCGGTAAAGGTCTCGGAAAGGGTGGTGCTAAGCGTCACCGTAAGATTCTCAGAGATAACATCCAAGTAAGTTTCTTAGCTATGTTATAGCAACCTTTTCTAATAACTCCTTAGGGTATTACCAAACCAGCTATTCGTCGTCTCGCTCGTCGTGGTGGTGTCAAGCGTATTTCCGGTTTGATTTACGAAGAGACCCGTGGTGTTCTCAAGGTCTTCTTAGAAAATGTCATTCGTGACTCAGTCACCTACACTGAACACGCCAAGAGAAAGACTGTCACAGCTCTTGATGTTGTCTACGCACTCAAGAGACAAGGAAGAATCCTTTATGGTTTCGGTCAATAAACGAATTGCTATGCAACCATCAATCCTTCAAATCATGGAAATCGCCTGTATTTATTGTTATGTACATTACTGAATAGATAATTAAGTTTGACATCTACATTTTTTGTGTTATTTCTGTACTGATTCTGTTAAACTAGTATTTTTGATAATCACTTCGAATCGAAATGATCGCCAGAGGCTGGCATATGCCCCCTAATTCATTTTAAAACCTTTCGGAATCTTGCTGCAATTGATAAGTACAGACACTCTTAGGTGGGACGATCAAGTGTAATGAAGCAATAATAGGCTACAAGATGTCAATTGTGATAATAATTATACAGGTTCAAGACAGGTTGATTGTCTGAAGGAATTGTGTTCCTCGAGATTCGTTCTGGGTAGGACGCGGTCTTATTTAAAAGCAAGTGTGGCAACATTAATCCTAAATTGATCGATTATTGACACTGGCCTTATATCCTATATGCTTATTGCACATCACATACTAAATCAAGGACAAGGAAAGCGATGAATAATAAAAGATAAAGTTGTGAAAGAAGAAACCCCTACGCGTATATTCAGTAAGTGATTACACATCATTATCTTCAAAAAAATCGAAAAGCAATCACATTAATTTAATGTACACGTTAACTTGTTTCCGTGCAGTGAAAGTTGGGCAAGTTAAACACCAATTACGCCTCCGCCGGTGTCACAACCATTTAAAAGACATGCACCAGTAGCTAATTGCGCATCATACTCTTTATCTTTCTTGTTATCGGCGACGTCATCTCTTCTTAAACCAACAGGGTTGTCAATTTTAAGATTGCCATTATCGCGACCACCATCAGTGAGACCCAAGACTCTACGAACAATCACAGCTTCATCGTCACTTAGATCACGCAACTCGAGGTCAAGTCCAGCAATTTCATCGTCTGAACGTTTATCAAGTATTCTAAGACCGATGGATTCTTTCTCATAATCAACTTCATCGCGCTTTACGCCAACGTGAAGCTTGTCATCATTGTCACTGAGAAGACCACGTCTCTTTATTCCAATGTGAGCGAACTCTGGGCTACCATCGTTAAGGATCCCGCCCCTTTTACTGATACCCAAGGAGATAGTGTTATCGTGATCTGCATGATTACTCAGTAAACCACCTCTCTTAAGTACACCAATCAGTGGATCATCGTCGTGTGGATTTTCATTAAATATCCTACCAAATAAACCAAGTGTTGAATCTCTGTAACCATTTCCACCGATACCAAGAGCACCTCTTCTTTGAAGCAGGTCTATGTCAATGGTGCCAGAACTGTCGGTGAGATCGTGTGCGCGCTTGAGAACACCAACACCGAGGATGTTACCCTCTCCATCTTTGCCACTGTTAGAACCGAGGATTCTCTTGAGCACATGCAAATCAACGAGACTGTCATCGTCATCATTATGTCTTGCTTTGAAAGGGTTTTCTAGATCATTTTCAAGATCACCACCTTCTTGCCTTGCTTTAAGGAGGTTTACTTTATCATTATCGATAAGTTGCGCGTCATAGTCATTGGCTCTTGTGTTAAGGAAAAGAATGCCTTTCCCATCATCTACAAGGACACTAAGAAGATGTATATAGCCTTAAGTTATTACACACCAGTTTCATCATCAAGTATACGCTTATTGATATTAAATTGAGAAGTAACGGGTGCAGCTATAACAGCTGAAGCGATAGAAGCCAAAAGGGCAAGTTTGGCGATCATAGTGGATGAATAAGCTTTAATTATCCAGTTCGGAATAAATTCACGTAAATGAATTTCCTATTTCGGCGCATTATGAAGCAACATTTTGGTATCAAGGTAACAGCGAAGAGGGATGTCACACAAGCTAATAGCCTTACCTGACGGTGAGAAAATAAATGAAAAATGCGCCATTTCAACTAATAAAATCGCAAGATTGCTTCAATGAACGCGGTAAAGCGACATTGTTGAATGTACCGCGTCCATTATGCACCAATCAATCAATTTTAGTAGCATTATCAGCAACAAGTAGTAAAATATACGAATTGCATGCTATTCAAGCGCGTAATGAGGATCGAAGGTGCTGGTTTGTTGACCAATTGGTTGTCTCTGGTGAGATAATACTTCTTAGTAGATGATAACTCTTAATCGTTAAAAAGATCCTCACCTTATCACTGCAACTCCACTTGATCCTACTTTCATTCTCTCGGCGTTGTTATTGTCTATACCAGAGTATGTTAGGAATGTAAGCCCTCTATATAACAACCCCTACGATAAACTCACAATTGTAGACTTATAGTAGATATGACGATGTTATAGACACACTCAGGAATACATTCCCAGAATCTAGAGATCTTCTACCCTTGCTCGAATCAGATGCACTAAAGTCTGTGACTGATAAATGCTGCGATAGTAAGGAATTATCCGAGGATGAATTGGTTTACAAATTCTCGACTGAAAAGTTCATGGAATATATTGATAGAAAGATAAGCAGATGCTTGAGCGTCATCACAGCAGAGAGAGACATCAAGTCGCTTGAACCGTCACCCCATCATTTACTGACACCAGAATTAACATTGCGTGAGTACTAGTTATCTTGTAAAGATTCACAGCTAATGCTCAACGAGAATCATACAAGAAAAACATCATTGACACCATTTTGTATAGCATACCAAGAAGTCTACACGCCCAGATCAAGGAAAGGCATCCGATGCCAGATTTAGACGCACACGAGGAGAAAGCTAGCAAGGAAAAATTCAAATCTGATACTCTCATCCGTTCAAACAAAGGATATGACGAAGGTAAAGAACTAGATAACGATGACAAGCAGAAGAAACCAGCGAAGGGTACCAGGGGCTCAGAGCAGCTGAAGAAAGTAGATACTAGAAAGATGATGAAATTGGACGGTTTCTTCGCAAAAAAACCAGCAAAAACTGATCAGAAAGAGAATGACACGGAGGCATAAATTATCAAAACGTACATCTATACCCATTATTCTTTTTGACACATAAATAATGCCACTGGAAATGCTATTTCTAGGGGTTTATCGCCACCAACTTCCTCTTTGATATCCTTGTTGAGCTGTTCTATAAGTTGTGTATTTGCATTTGACTGTTCCAGATATTTGGAATAGCTAGACCACGTCGAAATATACTCAGAGAATGCGCTGATTGAGGTACTATTTTTGAGTACATAGCCAGTCTCTTTATCAAAGAACTGCCTTTGAGTGTTGACACCCCATTCCGGGAATTCTACATCTCGAAGTAGATTAACAAGGAATCGCCTACCAGGCTGTTGCCAATAAGGTTGCAAGATATCTTTAACACGTTGAAATGCACTCAAGTTAGGATAGTTTAGCACTTCTATGTCACCGTAAACAAGGTACACTAATGAACCACCAGATCTGAGCGATGCACCGATGTCCTTCCATAGACCGCAATTTGAGGTGTTATTCGGTGGACTATGGAACCAATGAGCAGCCTGAGCACTAACGATGAGGTCAGCTGGTTCAGATAGTAAACTTGGGAGTTCATTGGCAAGTCCCTGATGTAATTCGACATTCTTTAGTCCATCCAATTGCTTCTTTGCTTCGTTCAACATATTAGAAGATGGATCTACACCCAGTACATGATTCGAACGCTCTGATAGGTAGCTGGTGATAGTACCAGGACCACAACCTAAATCTACACTTAAAGCACTGCCACTTTTATGATACTCGAATATTTTATTCAGGAGGTCTTCTGTGTATCTAGGACGAGCAGCGGCATAATTTGATGAAGAGAAACTTGGTATATTTGTAAACGTACTGTTCGTTTTAAATTCACTCACGCTTTTGCTGCAAACTGTGACATTAATGACGGTTGATTTAAGAAAATACAAATGACGCAATGATCGTGTGTTACATGCAGGAAATAAATTAGACGATGATATGATAGAAAAAATATATTGCATTATTGTAGCCGCTTGATAGGTCTCCAAGGCACTTGAGTTTCTGCCGGCGTGATTCCAACAATTAGATAGAAAAGCTGCAATACTTTGTATTCGAGGAAGATGCAAAAAGCGACGAAGATCGTTTTCCATGAGTCGTCCAAATAGTTCTTATTGACTGACAGTGAGAAATTCACTTTGCTATTGTTCTCACTATCTTTAATGCAAGTTAACTTGACGAACCACTCCCTAATTCGTGTGTACATCCATGAATGTGAATCAGTCTTGAGGTCTCGCAATAGCTCATAAAAACGTCGACCATCTGATGCTCTAACAAGATCTTCACATCTCTCCATTAGAACATTGTATATATAGTCAGCGTTTGGAGCAACTATGATTTGTTTGTAAAATTCCCAGCTTCTTACCAGCAAAGTGAGTTCAGTTTTAGATTCGGGTGTTTCCAAATGTGTTCCTGGAATATGCTTATCTGTGTATTTAATTACCACTTTGAGGTCTCTGTGCGACTCATTCAAAGCTCTGGCTAATGCTTTCTCGAATACCCTGCGAGCGTGACTTGCGAGCATATCCTCATCTGTCCAACCAAGTACACCGGCCTCATTGCTCGATTGAGTTGGCATACCATGTTTCCTGTTAAGTGTAATGCCTTGAGGTACATTACGATTAATTCTGACCTTCTGGACAATGGTAATGAAGTATACTTGTCGCAATAATGTCAATAAGATCGAGAGATCTTGCAGAGGCCTTTTGAAGATCATAGCGATCGTTGATTGGAAAGTGATTGGTATGGGTTCACTCTCCGGTATTAAACGGGTGGTCGTGAGTGCTTGCATGCGTTCGTCGAACAACGTTACTTTTGACCGTGGGGATTGGATCTCTTTAGTTCCCTCCTCTGTTTTATGGATTGGTAACGTATAAGAAAAACGGTAGAAGCCCTTCCTGTTGTCAACTGCACTAATGTAAAATGACCGCGGAACAGTAGCACAATATGTATACTCAGATGATATTGATTTCCGACTCACTTGGTCTGATCTGTGATCTAAGATATAAATATGTCTGGTCAATAATGAGACATAGGTTCCACAAAGAAAAACAAAAAACTTACCTGTCTCCACTAGAATTATGGACTTCCCACAGAACAATTTCAATTTCATCCTTGTCGTTATAGCAGTAATAGTGTGAAATGTTGTTTATACTTGATCCCTCCAAGAAAACTAGAGGTAGTGTAGAAAAATAAATTGTTTTTGCTCGCTTGCCAGTATCAAAACCCCTATCTTTAAGTGTCTGTATGAGATTATCGTAAATTGACATGTTTTTGCTATATTGATTTGTTAAGTAATCAGTCGGAACTATTCTAAACAATGTAGAGAAGCGATTACTCGATTCTCTCAATAATCTACCAGCATTACTTTCTTTGCTGAGCTTGATCAGTGAATGATAAAACCTTGGCTCGAAAGTACCCTTGAATGGATGCATTCTTCGATGTGGTGCACGATAGTGAACATAATAGGCCTTCTGCATCGGAGAGAAGTCTAGGAAAAACGACGTTACAGCTAAGAGTGATAGCAATATTGCCATTGTTTCAATCATCGTGGAATATTAATTTAAGTAAAACCAGAAACCAATTGCGGCACAAAAATAAAACTTTCGAAAAATTTTGATAACATTGTAATGTCGCTTGCCATTTTAGGAAGGTATATAATACATCGGGAATTAGCGGAGCTTTTGAGGAAGTATTTAAGTTACTGATGCGTTTACAGAATTGAATGACGAACTTGGTCTCGAAGAAGTGACGATGAAGTAAATAGAGAACATTCAATTTGTTCATTAGATTTGAACGGTGATAATTGCACAGACTGAATAGCAATGACTGTCAGCGTTAGGATGGAGGTGAATGACGTAATAAAGTTTGCCTATGAAATAAATGACATGGAGAAATCAGTAGGAATAACAATAAGCCATAGACTATAGATAATTGATACAGGTGTATTCGTTCGACGTGTGTGTCTGCCATCTTATCGGATTAGCTGGAGAGAGCTTTATAGTGGCTATACAGTCGACATGGGAATGCTTGTTGATATGGTAGTAATAACGTCTATAAAAAGACTGAGGGATAATTAGTGTCGACCTTTGATCGATACTATCATCGTCGTCATGATTAAAGTGAGTGAATAACTAGAAAAGATGCTCTACTAAAAGATAAAGATATGGTCAATGAAGAAGGACACTGAGAATGGCGCTAAGAAGAAGCCAAAGACTTCTGCAGCCCAGTTGAGAGTCCAAAAAGGTGGGTGGCTCTCTATCTCTGGTGCTCTCTAACCTAGAAGAACGCAGACATCACAGAACTAGAACTTCCCTCTACGATGTCCACACACTTCCCGAACCCAGCAGATCTCCTCAATTTCGAGCTCATCATCAAGCCAGATGAGGGTCAGTGTCCTGTATTTATGGTATGCTATAGTCTCTAATATAACTCCTAGGGATGTACAAAGGCGGAGCTTTCAAATTCACCTTCAATATCTCTAATAACTACCCGCACGAAGCACCAAAAGTCAAATTGACACAGAAAGTTAGTATATTATCATATCCTTATATTATATACTAACAAAATGCGTGTATATAGATATACCATCCAAACTTAGACCACCAAGGAAACGTATGCTTAAACATCCTTCGCGAAGACTGGAAACCTGTACTCAATCTGAACGCTGTTGTCGTCGGTCTTCAGTATTTGTTCTTAGAGCCAAACGCAGAAGATCCTTTGAATAAAGACGCCGCTAAGGATTTGCTAGCAGATCGCAACCAATTTAAAGCCTGGGTCAGATCGTCGATGTCAGGCAGGCCCGTCAAGGGAGAGCCTTACGATAACGTGATGGCATAGACAGTTCATTGTACTTTATTTGAATACATCTCTAGCATTTTCTTCTTCTACCACTACGATGACGACCAAGTCGCTCAGCGATGCACGCAAAAATCTAGAGATAACACCCCCGCGGATACCAGAGAGCATATTTGATGGTCCATCTCAGCGTCTCCTGCTTTTCAGCGGTGTCGCTGCATTACAAGCCTACAAACTGACGAAAACATTCAATTTGTGGACTAGCGATAGCTCTACGCGTATATTAGACTCAGAAATTGCTCTATATAGATGGGCATTGGTAGATCTCTCAGCTGTACTTGTTATCTGGTGGTTGAGAATACCAAGACTACGATTTCAGAAATCTGTTTGGCTGGCCATAATCGCCTTGCTATTTGCACTTAATTGGCTTCTTCTTGGTAGTTGGAAGGTCTGTAAAAATTATCATCCTTTTCCACCCTCTTATACGCCCACAGATGCCTCTTGCACAATTATCTACTGCTATTATACCAACAACATTGAAAAATGCATTCACATTCTACAAGGCTCCAGAGGAACATAGAGTAAGGCTCAAGGATGTCGTTGGAAACCGCGATAAGCACCTTCGGGGTGAACACACAGTTAGAGTTGGTGGATTTAGTACAGCAAAGATAAACCCAACAATCCAGTCATTTTGTTTACCAGAGACTGTGTCCAGCAAGCCACTCACTGTGCCTATTCTCTTTAACAACACAGAACCTCTCGTACTCGCTTATTCTATCACACCTCTTCTCCCGGATGGCAGTCTAGGCGAAGAAAGAGAAGTCGAAATCCAAGGTAGAGAATTAGAGAAGAATAAATACATTACCGGTTACACAGATGATGACAGCGACGACTTTTTCGACCCAAATCATGACTTTTATGCACATCAATCACTTGACGAATTAGCGCTCCTTCCTCGTGGTCATGGCGTAGCAGCTCCACCGAGGCTACAGAAGACGCAGAACATTAGGTATCTTCCACTCACATCTGCATCTGCACTCCCACCACCACCATTTGTCGTTAAACTGAAACACGTCGTGGACAAGAACTCGGAATTAGATGCAAGAATAGCGAGAACAGAGGCCGTCATCGTCGGGTGTCCTTCAGCAGGTTTCGCAAGTGAGGACATTCTCGGTGGTGACAGATGCGTTGGTGATAAAGTTGGCTTCCAATTGGGTGTACGTTCGGCTGGTGGCGCAAGCGTTGCTTGGTACAGTAGAGGTCCTGGTAGTCACTCGGATGTTAGGAAGTTGGACAGTATAGGATCAACTGCTTACACGACATCCGCTCCACATGCTAGAGCAGTGTCTACTACCACGTCAATACCAATTAATGTTACATTAGACAAGAGTGGTGATTATGAACTTGAGTTGGCTTCTCTTGAGGACTACTTTGGTAATAATCCATATCCATCTCTCTACGAGTCTGGTTTGGAGCAGTCATCACCAATTGTTCAGTACCATTCGCACTCACTTCCATTGGTTTCATTCTCTGGTTGCTCAGCTGAAGATCCAGTTAGATTACTTGAAGGATCAAAATCTACCTTAAGAGTCACAGTACGCGGTGTAGAAGATAGCGAAGGGTCTGTTGACGTTAAGATAAAGTTCTTTGATAACCCAGACCTTTCTTCAACGCCTGGTTCTGACATTATCAACGTTCACATTCCAGCTGGTCAACCATATGCTGATATTGGTGTGTCAAAATCTGGTTACTACAAAATTCAAGAAGTTAATGGTAAATACTGTGGCGGTGTCACTCAAATGCCTGATGTGTGTGGCGTCAAGAGCGTACCAAAACCAACTATCGATATGGATATCAAGACTATAGAGGATTGTTCAGGAGAAGTCGGTATACACGCCTTGATGACACTCACAGGTGAGGCACCATTTAAGCTATCATATATGGTGGAGTTCGGAGATGAGCAGAAGAGGGTAGAAAAGAAGATCTATTCAAGCAGAGATGAGTTGTCTCTCACACCTGAGCGTGAAGGGTGAGTATCATTTTAACGAGAGTTAGCAACAACTTATAATTATCATAGCAAATACAAGTACACTTTCTTAAGTCTCACTGATCGCAACTACAAGGACATCCCAATGGGTGATAAAGGAAAGGGTATCACTGCAACACAGGTTGTTCATCCACTCGCGGGTGCACAATTTGCGGAAAAGAAAAACAAGAGGACAGTATGGAGTTGTGAAGGTAACGAGGTAGATGTCGACATTGAATTTAAGGGTAGTGGTCCATGGAATCTCGAATTCCAAACAACTGGTACGAGTGCGTCATCTATCACCAAGCCAGTGACTTATCATGAAAACAATATTCGCGACCGTCAGCACACAATTAAGGTACCAATTCCCGATGAAATAGATAGGCTTGGTGGTCAATTCATGATCAGCCTGGTTAGCGTTGAAGATAGCAGACGCTGTAAGAAAGTGCTAGCACAAAATGACTACAGTGTACAAGTGCAGCGTGTCAAACCAACAGCCAGACTCTTCGGTACGGATAGAGCAACTATTCTGGATGGCCAGACAGCCAACATTCCTGTTAGACTGACCGGTGAAGGTCCTTGGAAGATTGGCTACAACCATCAAGGCGAATCACGTACAGTTACAACTGATAAACGCGAAACTGATCTTATCGTTGATAGTGAAGGTCTTTATGAACTTGTCGGTATTCACGACTCACATTGCCCTGGTACAATTATTGAGAATGAAGATAAATTCTATTTGGACTTCATACCACGTCCTTCAATTACGTTAGGCGAAAGCACATTGTCATCTCGCAAACCACGCAAAGGGGCATTACATCACACTCTCGCGCCAGTATGTAAAGGTGATGATAGTTCTATACATCTCGCTATCACGGGTGAACCACCATTTGAAATATCGTATCAACACAGAGAAGGTAGCCTTGTCGAAGAAGAAAGAATGGCATCCGTAAGACACTCACCTAATGTCAATCTCGATACTGAAGTTGCGGGTACCCATAAGTACTTATTCTCAGCTGTTGGTGATGCCAACTATGGTTTAAAGGACAATGGAAAGGATTATGTGGAAATCGAGCAACTTGTCGTTGAGCGTCCATACGCTGTGTTCAAGAATTCACCACGAATCTCGTACTGCCTTGGTGACGTCTTGAGTCCTCGTCCTCATGAGCATAACCCAGTCATAGAACTCCATGGTACGGCACCATGGGATCTAGAATTGGAGGTATCTGAAGAGACGGGTACAACATCACCACGTCGCGTACGCGTACCTGGAATAAGAACGCCTGAATGGGAAGTGGACCTAGCGCCATTGCGTCTCAACAGTTTTGGTACGCATAAGATAACAATCGTGGATGTTCATGATGCTAGCGATTGTGTTGCATTTGACGAGGATACACAATCGAAGAAGACGTCGGTTGTAGATGTAGCTGAATCTGCGACTGTCGTACCTGTCGATAGATTTGAGGATGTATGTGTCGGTGACAGTATGGATTTCCAACTAGGTGGAAGTGCACCATGGGCTGTAACCTACGAGTGGAATGGTAAACCACAAGTTGTGAAGACCAAATCGTCTAATTTCAATAGAATAGCTGAAGATGAAGGTCTTTTCGCAATCACTGAAGTATCGCATCATAGTCAACAGTGTCCAACTAATGTCGACATCAAGAGAATTGTCCATCCGCTGCCGTCTGCTAGTGTGAGTGAGGGTAATACCTACATTGAGGACATCAGGGAAGGTGATCAAGCTGAGATCAAATTCACGTTCGTTGGTACTCCACCATTCACGTTTACTTATGAGGTGAGCGAGCTTCTCTTTATGCTGACACAGCTAACTTGCCTATAGCGCCGCGAGAACCTCCCTCGGGTCAGACACCACGAGCTTGGCAAGGTATTAGAAAGACATACGATCACGAATGTACAAGATTACGAGCACTCAATATTTTCGTCATTGGAAGGCACTTACGTCGTCTCGTTCATCCAAGATGGCTACTGTCGTTACCCAAAGGACACAAGAAGGCGTTAGTTAGCTAATTAATTAGCGCTAATCAGTTATAAATCCGCATTGTTATCTTATAAAAAGCTACAAATTGTATATAAGCTCTTAATTTATATAATTACACATGAAATCAATCTGTTCAACTAATTGGTGGTACTGGGGGCGTCACGCCAGGTGCAACTGGAGGTGGTAGGACACCTGGTGGTGGTGCATTTTGAGGGTTCTGAGTAGGTACTGCTCCTGGTGGTGCTTTAGATCATTAGTATGTATATGTTATATCGTAATTCTACATACCTGGCATCCTACCGCCGCTCATGATATGACGATGTCCTTGTAATTGTACGTAGAAATCGGCGTCACTGATCACGCCCTTAAATATACGCTTGCGCTTGGCTGGCTGATTCTTCTTGTTAAGGTCAATTCCTCGTGCCTCAGCTCTACGACGATCGTATTCCGCCTTATCGTGTGCTGGTACACCCTCCATACCGAAAATCTCAATCTCGAATGTGCTCCTGCCGGGTAAAGCATTCTCTATCCTATCAGCTTCCAGTTTGTGTACTTGCTGCACGTGGACAGCCAAACCATTCGCCGTGTTCAATCTACGTGGACAGAGTGAGCACCTGAAATGCTTAGCCTTTTGGTGACTGATTAGAACTTTATCGTCTTCGAATTCTCTCTCGCAGTACCAGCACCTATGGGGAGTAAGATGGTGTGCATTCTATAGAGTTTCAAACCCACCAAGGTTTATTCTCAATCCTGCGTTTTTTTCCCATCGTCGTCGTATCGAATAAAGATATTATCTCGTCATTCGAACCAACGAAGAGAAATTCAAAAATATATCGATAAGCTGGCGATTTAATATGGATAAGACTAGGGATAATAAGTCGAGCGCAACTAACACTTGTGGTCGCATTTGGTGGGTAGTTTGTTACTGTCTGGTTGTCATTCCTCACAGGGTATAGGATATCCTCTGTAGTCTTCTTGATATCTTTTTTAGCCTTTTCAATGCAGTTTTACTCTGTTTATTACACTCTTCGTCAGCTTATCATACTCAAGTAGGAGTTTTTTATATCCCGGTAAAAATCTCACCCGTGACAGTCTATTTGCATTTCTAATCTTTCTCAATTACTACCTCTGTTTATCAACTGATCCAGGTGGCGTACCAACTTATTACGTCAGTTTAGCCTTCTTCTTCCATACGTATTGACATAGCGACAGGAACCAATAAGTCTTCGTGATAATGTCTTAGAAATGAAGAGCAATTCAGACAATGCTCGTTTTTGTCGTTCTTGTCAAGTCTACAAACCACCAAGGGCACATCATTGTAGTCGTTCCAACAGGTGTATACTACGAATGGACCATTATTGTCCGTGGATGAACAACTGCATAGGGTTCTACAATTATGGTCACTTTATCAGGTTTCTGATATTTGTTGACATTGGCTGTTTGTTTCACTTCTACTTACTTACAAAAAGAGTTTTAAATCCGGTGAGTGGTATGCTTGACAGGGTTTTCTGTCTGTCTTATACACGCCCTACAGATACCCCCACCTGACAATACCGAGACCCTCATCATCGTTCTCAACTATATCAGCTGCATATTTGTCCTGCTCGTCGTTGGCAGTTTCTCAGTTTATCACATCTACTCCACGGCAACAAATACAACTACAATTGAGTCATGGGAGAAAGATAAGGTTAACAATCTTGTTAATCGTGGTAAAATACGTGATGTGAGATGTGGATTCCATAGGTATTACTTTCTAACGCTCCCCATAGATAAAATTCCCATATCGGTTATCAGTATACGAGAATATTTGCTCAGTCTTGGGTGATCGCCCAATATTGTGGCTCCTTCCGCAGCGCATGAAGGGAGATGGTTTATCATTCACCGTCGCGGCAGATACAGGCAAGTGGGTCGATGTTCACTCGAGAGGAAGGAGCATAATTCGTGAACCGAAATCTCGTAGGCGTAGACATCATATAGCCCATGCAGCCTTGCATTTTGAGGACGGCAGCCCTGTTGATACCAATATCAGTCCAGATGAGCGCAAACGTGGCAGAAAATTTGAGAATGAGACACTCGAATTTGAAAAACGTTTGCTTGAGCTGGCTTAAGATGTATGAGTACCGAAGTTTCTGGATGCGACTAGGTATTCTTATGTTCAGCATTATTATTCTTGTTCTAGTAAGTCGATTGCATTCCTCCTTTGTCCTCTCACCATTAAGCAGATTATTACGCTAAGCTAGCGCTATAATAATAAATCGCATTGTCATACTTTACAATCCCACAGATGCATAGATACAATATATTAGCTCACAATAAGTTGCCGTTACCCTTGCTTCCTTCCTCTCGTGACATCTTTTACGTTTTAGAATTGATATTAACATTTTTCTAGATCCAGAAGAATGGCCTCCGCGGGATAAGCAATACGCGTATAGTTATGATGATGAGGACACTGATGCACTACAAAGTAAGCCTGTGTTGGGTGACTCTCCTTGGACATACCAAAACGGTCTTAATCCGAATCTTGCACCTACAAGATCCAGACAGAGACACGTCAAAAAAGGTAATGAAGGGTGGGAAGTGAGGCACACTAGTTCGCCATATGATATCGACAATGATTTCACCAACGAACGATGGACTGAAGTTAACGGAAGATTGTATAAAGTATACGACGAGGAGAATGAAGAAGAGGAAGATGATTATGGTTATAGTGATGATTAATTCTTGTTTTTATTATATAATTTGTAAAATTTTTCATTAATTCGCTTATCGCGGAATTCTCTTATCAAACAAACAATCATGAGCGTAGTGGAGAAAAATGTTTTAGTAATCTATACAGGTGGAACTATAGGAATGATAGCTGATTCAACTGGTGCTTATCGGCCGCATAAAAACCTCCTTGGTGATATACTCAGCTGTCAATCACGATTCGACGACCCAATGGCGAACTCAATCTTTTCTAATTTGAACAACAAGCAAGCCTATGCATTGTGGTTTGATCAGGAGAAACCAACGCAGAAGCAAGCGTCAATTAAAGAACACAGACGGACCTTGACCGTGAAAGCACACCAAGAATTCCATGGTAGTCATTTCAACGGTGAGTTCTATGAGGGGGGAATACCAGCATTACAAACACCAAAGACCTTCCTCAGTGGTGTCGAACATACTGTAAAATATGCTATTCTCGAGTACGATCCGTTGTTGGATTCAAGTGACGTGAGTCCAAAAGAATGGGTCAAGATTGTACGCGATATTGAATTGAACTACAATTCAAATTTTGACGGATTTGTTATTTTACATGGAACGGATACTATGGCATATACGGCCTCTGCATTATCATTCATGCTCGAAGGTTTAGATAAGACGATTCTACTCACTGGTAGTCAAATACCACTTACGCACATACGTGCAGATGCTAGTGATAATATTTTACATTCATTACTTATCGCAGGCACCATTACTATACCGGAAGTAACCATTTATTTCAATCATCAGTTATTAAGAGGTAATAGAGCGACAAAAGTATCTACAAGCGAATTTGACGCTTTTAGGAGCTATAATTATCCACCATTGGCTAAAGGTATGTGAATGATCACTTTTCCTTGGTTCTCATTGACATTATCCAGTTGGAACAAAGTTGGATGTTAATTGGAACGTAGTGTTGCCTAAATCTAACAAACCATTCACTGTTCACAAATGTGAGTGAGTATTTAGTTAGAGTAGGAAAGCTTCTAATGAAATGTCAGCGTTATCACCTGAAATATGCGTTCTTAGATTTTTTCCAGGTATTAAAATGCATGTTATTGAAGCCATTGTCGAGGACCTTATCAATCATGAACGTGCCGCATTGATTTTACAAACGTTCGGCAGTGGTTAGTGATTATATATTAGCATGTAATATAACAACAACCCTAATGATGCGTAGGAAATATCGGTAGAAATGATAAATTACTAGATCTATTTAAAAAAGCCTCAAATAAGGGTGTTGTCATCGTTAACACATCTCAATGCCATACTGGGTCAGTCAGTGGAGCGTACGAAAATGGACGAGTGTTGGGTGAAGCTGGTGTAGTGTTTGGTAACGACCTCACGTGCGAGGTATGCTATTGAATTATCTTATCTACTAAAATGACTGATTTAGAAACATAGGCAGCTCTTACGAAACTTTCTTATCTGCTTTCAACTGACTTATCTACTGAAGAAATTCGCAAGATTGTTCCTGTATCGCTTAGAGGAGAAGGCAACAAACTTGTTTAAATTTACAAGTGTAACTAGTTATATAAGGACCTACTATACAGATCGACTGTACAATGACATAAATCAGCCTTTTGTTTCAAACCTTATTCCAATGTGATGAGAATGTGCGTTTAGCCAGGAACACGATCGTCATAACTGTTCATCATCACTATCACGTTATCAATGAGGGGAATAACTATAGCCGAACTTCAGGTAGTCTTGACGAAAGGAGTTCCGTAACCTTAACCAATGAGAATCAAACACAAGTCAAGCTTGAGGTTAACAGATGTCATGGAAGATCAAACACTACGTTGGAAATTTGAAGCGTACTTAAAGGATAATGAAAGAAGTATAGAGAATTTAGAAGTGAGTAGGTTATAATTTTGTGTTATAATACTAACATGAAAAGTTCGTGTCTTGGTTTGAAGATTATAAAATAAAGTTTAGGAAAATTACCCCTCAAATGCAAGCAAAGGAAGCTATTAGAGTACTAACCAGGTACTTCTATAGGAATTCCTCACATGAACTTAATTTAGACGAGGATGTGAAGGTTAAAACGATCAACGTTGTTAAATATTGTATTGATAATCGACAACCTGTGCATCCTTCAGGATTTCAGCAAGCTTTCGAAATTTCCCGTTCACTTATAGAATGTTCAAGCATTCCAATGTTTATATCACACCTTAAAGCAAGAAAGCGACCTTCACTTAGAGATGTATTATCATCAAACATTCGCAGGAGTTTCGAGTCATTTTAGTTAGTTGTTTAAGTTAGATAGAGTTATACGGTTATAGACTTATAGATGGATATTATTTTACCTAATTTACTCTCTAATAGACGTACATGCTTCATTTTTGACTCTCCATAAACAATTGTATCTATGGATCCTTTTTAGACGTTCTAGCGAAATATACTTCTTAAAATATGTTCGCTAGAAGAAAGTGCTTTCTCCAACTAGTTTATTTTATAAATTTCATTGACTAGTAGATTAGATCAGTAGTTTGATTAAAGGAGATTACGATGTAGTTCAAAAGATGTGACCTCTTCAATACCTTCATTACAGCCTTATGCAAACAGATAATGCACTCATCATTACCATTTAAATCTTCGATATCATTATCTAAGGTCCTTCTTAACGTAAGTAGAACTTCGTTAAGGTGGGCTTTTTAGTTCCTTCAAGATCATATATACCTCACGTCTCCACCGAATAACATAGTTCCAATAATCCTTATCATTAATGAAAGACTAGCCTTCAAATTCCTTTCATTATTACAGGTGTTTTATGATAAAGTCTCCCAAAGCATCATTGTTATTGAGCAATATTCAATGTAAATGGTGTGACTAATATAAGTATTATAATTATTGTGAAACACATAGTCTTCGCATGGAGTAATCAATCATATGCTCAATCGAAAACTTGTTTATCTCTGTATTTCTTTCTTTGCTATCTATAATCATGAGATCATAGAAGTCGATAGGCAGGAGACAAAGAATTATTAGAGTAGCTTGAAGTTAATGTATTTGCAGATGGCATAATTTCGATCTTCCATAAGCCATGCAGTCACATTCACCGCCTCTAAAAATGTCACGAATTCCCACATGCGTATAATTCTCAATAATTACAATCAGCTATAATTACCTTAATCCAAATCAATGGATTTTGTTGGTACTGATGAGACGGAATGGCTTTTTGACAAAGAAACTGAGGATACCAAAACTGTAATGTCTCACTCAATTACTCTTCCGATAAAAGTTCACGTTTCATTCCGTTGGGCCATCTATTACTCTTTCCGAAAAAATATTCCCAAAAACTTCGCTTTGTGTTATCCCATCGATAGATATGTCTGAGGAGCTGTAATTTCTCATATTCCTCACTTATTTTTACAAATAGTTCATCCGTGTGTGTATATATGTGGACTTTCTCCAGCTGCTTCCGGTAGTCAAAGAATCCAAATTTCCGATTAGATACGTCCATTTCGAGAAGAACAACTGCTTTGAGCTTAGACAAACCATGATTACTATCTAAATAACGTTCTAAGTCCTTCGATGTCTCGTTAAAGCCGATATTAACATGTAAACATAATGTCTCAATGTTAGGAAAGCTTGTATGTAAGGCATACCTCCGTAGTGAATAGAGAAGAACCTTTAATGAGCCAAACTGTATAGTGACATGCTTCACTGAGTCTATCTGCACATTGTGCAGGATTTGATTTAAAGTAATCCAATGTACGATCATTTGAAGCTTTTTGAGATTAGTGAAATTGTTGAGGTGTCTAAAATCATTGCTAGAAAGTGCGGATAACGTTAAATTTCTTATCGCTTGTGAGTTTCTGTATAGAATTCTTTGCACCTACTCACTCGACATATGTCGCTTTCGACGGCTCGTTCGCAAACTTAGTAAGATATAAAGAAGAATAGTCATCTTCTGGCTCAATCGCAGGGATAGTGCCTATCGTTAAGAATGGATCTCTCAGACTCCTCATTAATGTTGATCTACCGATAGAATAAAATGATCTATTGAGCGTTGCGAGTAAGGGCGCGAATTCCATAACTTCGATAAGTATTTCCTGTGGTATAGAACATAATTGCTGGTATAACTGCAGGTAATTCGGATACTGCATTGATGATTGTCGTAAAACAAGAGGAATTGATCGATAACTAGAGACAGCGAGATACAGAAATTTGATAGTAAGGATCATATTTCTGTTTAGATATTGAGGCTGTTAATGCTGATGAGTGGTGATATCATCTCCCTTACTATCTATTTGAGGTGCATTATAAACAATTAAAATATCATTTAGAATATCAGAGTAAATAATACATGTCGCAGTTTCTGTCTCTCTTTGCGATCGTGAAGTTTGAGAAGTGTGATGTCAGTAAGTATAGAGTAGACTATTATTGTATACAAGTATTTAATAAGAATATTTAAGTCGTTTTTAATATAGTTGCAATTGATTCTAATATTACGATGATTATACCGCTGCTGAGCAAGAGAAGAGATAACAAGAGATAGCGAGAAATAATAAGAAATAATAAGAAACAATAAGAAATATAAGGATATGCAAGCAATGGGGGATCGCCTGAAGAAGAGTAGGTGACGTATACATCGACCACGCTCGGCGTTTACGACTACTTTAAGTCCATTTAGGCGAGCTACTCCTTTAATTACAACCATCATGAACTAAACAAACAAACAAAAAGAATTGATTGTTTCTGGTACACTTATTGACAATGTGATACACTTCCTTGCGGTATTCGAGAATGATCGAACGCATGTACGATTTGGGGATCTTCACAAAACTTAAAAGAGGTCTAGAGTGTATATTCCCCGCTGTCAAGTGAAGTAGATAAAAAGCATAAGCTGTCATCCAATAACTGTCTTGTTTTATAGGTGGGGTATTGGAACATTAAACCGCAGCAGACTTTATCGATCGGTTCAGGGTCAGCTAACTCTGAAATCATATCCAGGGCTCGGATTAATCAATCTTCACAATTGACTATGAATACAATAGAATACAGCGTAGCAGATTTATCAAAGATCAAGTTCCGTCTTGATTTCATCTGCGAACTCAACATTCTGACCTTGTCAGATAAGGCATTACCACTCTGCGAATTCAACTATTACAAACTGAATGAAAGACTCATCGAAACTGTCAAAGCACCGAAGAAGTATAAGAGAGTACTATCTTTTAACCGGAAAATCGACAATTACTCGCTCACAAAGAACCCAGAAACAAACGAGTTTGATTTACATATAAATGCAAGCAAGGCCGTTAATAATTTCTACACCGGTAGAGTAGGTAAATTAGTTGGAAACGAAGATTACTATAAAATCCATACGGATATCAAGAATGTCAAGCTGATCAGTCAAATGCCACAGTTACCTTCACTTGCCACATCTAAATACAGTTTTAATGATGCCGAAAGAGCAACATATCTCAGGTTTTACCTCAATGATGTTGCTGTACCTTCTTCTAATAGTAATTTCGAAAATTTCTCAAATTGGTTAAATATTACGCTTCTTAGATTTAGTGAAAGTAGATACGAAAGACGCGTCAGGAAACTAATCGATAGTTATAGATTGCCTAGTACTGAAGAAACACAAAGGCAAGACTTAGCTTTACACCAATGGAAGGGCGGATTGCTTGATAGCGAAGATGTTTACGACTATTTAACGAAGTTACCACTGGATGATACATCGCTTCTATGCATTCAGATAAAGGGTTATAATCATTCACCGTCAGCTTGGTCGACCTACAAGGACTTCAGGCGCTTTCATTCACATACAGACTCTCCAACACAGTCAATCTTCTTCCTTAATGGAAAATTCCTTATCAGCGACGAATATTCAGTCAACCGGTTCAAAAGGTGATAGCTAAATCCTTTATATATTTATTTTCTGTACATATAGCTAAAAATGTCTATTCAATAATGTTACAAATTGTTTTACACAATCGCACTTTACAATCCCATACTTTGCAGTAATGTGTTCCAATCAGTAGAATGGTTTGAAGATTCAGGCTGCGCGTTTGACGTACTAGACAATACGCTATCCATTCCCAAAAAGTCAAGGTTGTTAGGGAAAATATTATTATACTCATTGATACCACTATTCAAGGCCAAATTGCTAGTACCTTCTTGTTGCACTTGCCAAAGGCTGTTAAACATTTCAGTACTACTTGCAGTACCCTCTGTTTGTTTCAATAATTCAGTATAGATTGCATCAGAAGGTAAAGTATTTCTACGACTGCGAAGAGGAGCATTGAAGGTTGTTTGTGGCTTGTCTGAGGTCGGCGATGTATTGACGAATCTGCTACCCAAACCAAGCATGACCATGTGTTCATTATCGTGATCGTCTTCCTTGTGCTCCCTAGCTTCAATGTGAGCCTTACAACGAATTAGTGCCCTTTCACGGAGCTTGTTGAGTGCTGGTACAAATAAGTTGGCACGCTTGCCCGCAGTTGGTAAAGCGCAAAGATCGGTAATTGAGTTGAGATCCTTCCAGGCGTCACTAGCCATTGATGATCCAGGAGAAATAATACAAGATGCTGCTGAACAAACACCAAAACTGAAGAGATGATAAAAGAAGAAGAAGTGCCTAGACGATAAATCTGGAAGTAATCTATGGATGCTGTGTCCTAGTGCAACCATGACCTGAACATTATTAGTTTACTCTCGAAAACAGGAAGTTACCTACCCTACAACATTCCATAACTGCAACGAATGATTGAGAAAAAGGTGACTTTAGTGGATTTTCTGGGTGTGTTTTAAGGGCATGTGCGAAGTAGCGGCGATTGATATAAAGGAGGCATTCGTTAACATTCATTGCAAGGGTGTGTTGCTAATAGAAATGTCATGTTAATGTCTAACTGAACAAGTCTCAACTTACTTGTAACAACAACTCCTCTGAAACAGGTTCTTGAACGGAATCATTGACAGGATAATTCGACGAATTCCTGACCACGGATGCTGCTTTACAACGAAGATGCAATGGTATATTCTTCTCATATTGTCTGATTTCACGGTCTAGTCCAATAACAGTATCGTACGTTGGTGGTTTTACGCTATAGATCTCGTCGCTGATCTTACACAAGAGTCTGACGAGGGAGTACCGCATAGTTTGGTAACCATAACCCTCACCATTGTAGTTTCTAGCTTGTTCGTCTAGTGGAAAAGCACAATCAACGTGACGAAGCTGAGTAGAATATGGTCTACCGAAACAAATTGACTGGAAAACATCCATTGTTTGAGTTTCCCAGAACGCCATCCTTCTTTCATTGAGATCGTTTCCTTGAAATCCCCATCTTTGACCATCACGGTGCAGACCCATCGCACGAGTAATACGTAACTGAACACCCAAAAGTGGGTAATAAGAGTCAGCGCCACTCAATCTATTTCTATTAAGTAAGTAAATACCCATCATGTGGAGTGTTTGAGCAGCAGGTATACTGCTCTTGACGAGGAAGTCACCAGCGCTGAGTAAAGCCTTTGAATAACTGTAATATCTCTGAGAATCTGGATGATCTGTTGATAAATTGACGTCAAAGTAAACTCCCAACGCAAAAACCATATAAAGTCTAGCTAATTTGTGAGCATCAGGTTGATTGTAAAGTGTGTTAAGATCATTCTCAAAGACCTCCCTCTGTACACAATTGTAGAGACACGAACAGGTCCTGTAGTAGACATCCACCATTTGCATCGCTCTACTCCTATCAGGGAGCTTTAACCAGAGTTCTTCTATAATTTCTGCATTGTTCGCAGCGCTGAATGGGAAATCCGTGGGTGGAGAATCAGGACTTTCACCAATCTGACCACGCTCGTCGATAAATTCCTGCTCACGGTCGACTAGTGAGTCGTTCTGTAGCCACTCTGAACCTGCACTTGGACCGACATATCTCGATCCCTCCTTCGTTACGGTAAGCGCACCAAAGCTTTCAGCGAAGTCCTCATCATGTGTCTCTATTGGTGGTCTTATTGCATTCGCTGCTTCTGTAGAATCAGGAGAATTGAATACAGCAGTAGCAGATGTGATCAATTTCGTAGGAGCATCTGGTATGACACCACCCTGTGTTGAAATACTCTTCTCGAGCTGTTCAATCCGCAATAGCAAATTGCTTGTATTATCTACCAATGCCTGTCTAGACATGGTAGCGCCTTTCATTGTACCATCAGGGCAAATAGCAGCGCATCCTCTCCTTCTACACGAGCTGCAAGGCCATTGTCTATCGCATTTCAATTTTAATCGACGGCATTCTGCTTTATTTTAGCGTTCTGAATGATATGCTGGCAGTAATTCACTCACCACCACAGCTATAAAGCGGTCTTTGTCGTCTAGGTTTCGTTGTTTTTGAATGTTCCGTTTTCATTGATCTTTTTTACGATCGTACAAAAAGAAGCGTTATAATTGGTTTTTTTCAGCTGACTTAGTAGGGACGAAATGACGTCAGTGCAGAAGTTCTAGTTTGAGTATATTAATTTCTGTATGCGTTATATACAACTATATGGATTCGACATGGTTGTCTTTGGTGTTAGGTCTCTGCAGATCCCTAAAATGTAACTGCATGCGAAATAAATATATGTCGGATATCGGATCATTCTCTGCTAACTAACAGATAAGCGATTTGTTGCACTGAAATACTAGGCTGCAAATTTAGAATAATGTTACTTGCATTTTTAATCAGAAACATTTTCTGATAATACACTCGAACTTACATAATTAGCCGAGCAATGCGCTAGTTTATTCATCCTAAGCATGACTTGAACCTATAAATGCTCTGTTCACACTGATACTAATTGTTGACGGTTGATTAGTCAACATCAGTTTCTCTCATTTGTATTAGATCATCTAGATACGTTGAACTTAGTTGCATATTATGAAGCTTGCGTATTAACCTAGGATTCCAGTATACGCCATGCTAAATGTTAAAATATAATAACACATTAAGTCTATCCTTATATTTGTGTAATTGATATGGGCATCAGTAATGGAAAGCCTGCAATACGAGTAGAATAACGTGAGACAGTTCGATGTAAGATAGCCACGTTCCTTGGTTCAATGTCTGTTTTATAGAGATCTAACATCTAATTGCTAATATATGTCACTAATAATTATGAGCTATTCCATTTTCATCTATATTGGCTTCTGCATATCTCAGAGCCACAACTCAACATGCATCGTCACAATTTCTGTCAGTGGAGACAAAAGAGTGGGCAGTGTGTTGCATACACTTGTGTTCACACTGCGTAGCGTCAAATTCTTCGCTGGGACGTAATTGTCCCAGCTTATGTATACTAAGTGTTAGCTATATGTCTTAGTAAAAATACATATTGATTGAATACACTCTCATGAACCCACCCTTCTGGATTTCTCGATCTGAAAATTCTCACATGTCACATCCAGACATTGTAAGTGTCAATAAAGCAAGGTAATCATATCGAATTTATAGATTATGAAACAAACAGTCTAAAGTCTAAGTCCAATCCTTATATGCTTCACTTGTTGCTTAACGACTACATACAAGCTTATCCGCGCCGATTTTTACTTCAGCACTTCCAGCACCTCTGCTTTCACAACATTCAACCATACCACCAGTGTTTATACCGTTAGCAAGAAGTGGAATACATTGAGTAAAGACCTCATCGAAGCGAGTGTTTTGATCAACTGCCGCACAACAGTCCTTGGTAATTTGATACTCTGTACAGCTTGTACCACCTTTGCTTGTACAGATTTCAGCAGGACCTCCCGCTGAGACTAAGGTTGCTGATGCGAGTAATGCTGAGATCACAGTTGTCTTGAACTATTTCGTTGTTTGTATT